TGCATCTGAAGAAGTGGGTTTTTTACCCACGAAAGCTTATCCCCAAATAAATCTGTTAGTCTTTAAGGTGCCACCGGACTCCTTGTTTTTTCCAAATGTGGTTTGTACTGTTAGCTAACTATTGTAAAGCACTTTGGATAAAGGCGCTATATAAAAAAACCTTAATAACTTTTTTTGTTCTACAAATAAAAGCACACAACTCCTTTTACTACAGTATCAGTAGTTTTACCTTTCTAATGAAATGGATGTGCCCTCTCTCCCCCACCGCAGCAACCCCCACGCTTGGGCTGGGAAGGAGGGCCATTTCTCCCTGGCAGCTGCAGCCCTGGAGCTGTGGAAAGTCGCCTCTTTCTCTGGCTGCCACAGCCCTGCACGTCCCAAATTCCCCCCATCCCCTCTTCTCACCCCACTGCCCCCTCCCACCTGCCCATTATTCCCCCCAAGGCCACCACCTCACCTTACATATGTGTCTTCTCCAGGGTCCAGGTACCTAATTAGTGGAGCCATGCCTGCACGACTCTACTAATTAGGTAGGTGGCCCTTCATTCTCTCATATGCAACTACCCAGGCGCGCACCTTAGAGGGAACTGTCTGCGGACCACCTGAATGGAGCTCACGGACCACTGGGAGTCCAAAGACTACAGTTCGAGAACCTCTGCTCTAGCTGTTACATTTGCAAAGAAAACCTTCTAAGTGTGATGCAGTTTTCAGAGATCCTAAAACAATAGCTTTGAAGTGTGAACCATTTCAATGTTGCCAACTCGGATGCCAGTGCTTATACTGTTAATTTCAACATTGTTGACTACTTCACTGCAGGGTGGATAAAAATTGATGATTTTAAAAAAATTGTTTTAAATCAGATTTTTTTATTTATTTTTTTAAAATTATATTTTTCTTTTGAAAAATAAACCTATTTAAAATGAAATCCAAATTTATATAAAACCTATCTCAAAACTTTTCAATTAAAAATATGCTGAATCATTGAGTCTCTACTAAAAAATGTTGGGTTAAAGGCTGCTTTTCTATGTAAAGAAAGATGTTTTCCCCCTGATTCTACCTTTTGAGGTCAAGCTTTATAAATATGGCACAGGTACTATATTAAGGGCTTGATTCTGTGGGTTGCCCAGAGCCTGTGCTACTGAGTGCAAGAAACTGGTAAAGTCATCACAAGCATTGGGACCCAGCCTCGGACTCCAGGACACACCACCATCTATCTCAGTGGTTTCCAAAGTGGGGTCCCCAGGCCTTTGTGCTGGGGTCCATCCCTTAAGCCAGGACCGGAACACATTGGAACAGCTTTCCTGCACTTTTGCTGCATGATGGACACCCATTTTGTTCTCAAAATGACGTCCTCTACGCAGCATGACCTCATGCACCGATGAGAGGTCACACTGATGGGGGTGTTCCCACACTGG